TGTATTTTTTCTCTCTATTTTGCAGGATTATATAGATCAAGGGGAATGAAATTACTATACACCTTAGAAGTGATTGAGTAAGTTCTAAATTGGTAAATGTGCCCCAAGACTGTGATTTAATGCAGTTACTGCTCTGCAGGTAGCTTTTAATGGCTTCCATTCTGTAACTATTAAAGATCATTACTTTGCTGTTTACATATTCCTTTCTAACCACTGAAACTTACAGTTTCTGCTTCCTATTCAAGGCATGTGTATGTGTACAAACATTTGTGTGTGGAATACAGACCCCATTTAGAAAACATTTTCAGATTTAACAGGAGAATTTTTGATATATATTGAATTAATTTAAGCCGTCTTTGTTCTTGATTAGTTCTTTTGTTATGATATTTATGTTGTATATTGATTTATTTAAATAACTTAAAGTGATTTACTAAATAAGAGGATTGAACTGTGTTCCTTGAAAAAATATGAGAAATTAGGTATTTATACAAAGTATAAACAGCTATTGTTAAATCTTATTGAACACATAATTGAAATTGTTTCAGTGTGTACGCCCTGCATGTAAAAATTATTATGTTGCTAGTTTGTTTAAAGAAGAAAATAATCTTATATAATGGAAAGAATATGAAATAGCTTCCATGTTTAGTTTGTTTTAGCTATCTAAATGCTTTTAGACACGTTATGGATTTAATAATCTCTAGTATGTTATTTTATGAAATGATTCTAATCTTAGTCAGCAGAGCAAAAAAGCAAAGACACCACTGAAAACATTTTCCTGATTTAGCAATCTGAGTTGTGACAAGACTTTGGTAATCTAGAAGCTCTACTTGTAAATTTCTAAATTGAGATGACTGTGAAATTAACTGTGCACTGGAAAGGGTGAACTATTTTGGAAATTTACACTGATCATAGTCACTTTTTTTTTCTTTATACATTCAAAATTGATGTTGCTCTCCCAAAGATATTTCCCCCTTGGGTAGAAGAAACCACCTGATTCTACTTTTAAAATTACAAAAACAAGCTTATGTAGCATTCTTAATTAAAAGCAAAGATGAAAGGGAAAGACCATAAAGTGTTGTTTGCTGTTACATGCATCAATGTGTTTAAGGGTTAGCAAGCCAACAATAATACCAAAAAGTGAAAAAAAAAAAATTAACAAAGAAAATTTACCCAAAGAGTATGTTTCAGCATGGAAGGTATGGAAAACAATACCAAGCTTTTGGTAATTCTTGAACTAACAGCATTTTGCTGAAGCACACATTTTGAGATTACAAATTCTCCACTGGCAGGATTCTTCATAAACTAGACATAGGTGAAAGAAAGGGTATAATCTAGATGGAATTCATGTGAGGACATGTAAATATCTTCATGATATAACTGACTGTGGAAAAAAGTAAGTCAAACTTTGAGCTTTGCAATGGTTTATAGTGTGCCAAATATGAAAAACTAGTATATAGATTACACAGGTACACAAAAGCTGGTGGACTTGAAGGGAGATGTAAGAGTAAATTCTGAGAAGAAGGATGTTAAAAACATAGTTGCTGGGGCTGGCCCCGTGGCATAGTGGTTAAATTTGGCACGCTCCACTTCGGCGGCCTGGCTTCACAGATTTAGATCTGGGCGCAGATCTACACCACTTATCAGCCATGCTGTGGTGGTGACCCCATATAAAGTAGAGGGAGGTTGGCACACGTGTTAGCTCAGGGCTAAATCTTCCTCAGCGAAAAAAACAAAACAAACAAAAACAAAAATCAAAACATAGTTGCTGTATCTCTCCATTTGCTCCCGTCAAAATACACAGAGCAGCTTTAGAGAACAATTATCAGGTATCCATTGATAGATCTTCTACTTCCAGCCAAGACAAAGTAATAGAACTTGGATTCCCTCCCCAAAAAGTGAAACCTAGGCTAAGTATGATGAAACGCTGTTTAAGTATAATGAAACAATGTTTTCAGAATTTAAACCATAGGCAATATAGAACCATGATCGCTAAGAGAAGGGAAAACAAAGTGAGCCCAACAATTGTCTCAATTTGCTTTCTACAGAGAGTTTCCAGGTTGCATCATGGGGAGAGGGAATGAGGCAAAATACTGAAGTTTCTCTAAGTTGCAGAGAACAAACTTGGAGCCCAAGTAGACCAATATGGCTAGTATTTACAGGGCAGAATATTGTAGAAAAAAATTATAGAAAAAGAGAGCTCCAGAGTTCTGCAGAAGGTTCCCCTTGATATTTAAAAGAGTGCTGATTAGCATGTGTGTGAGGAAACTACCTAAGACAGTAAATGAATCTATTAAAACCGGCAGAGGGAATAATTCCTGGAGCCTCCACAGGGCTGGGAATTTATGTTCCCACCAGCCAGACTGGAAAATCTCATAATACACAGAACATTGAGTGGAGTCATCAGAAGGGTAGACCTCATTTAGGGGGACAAAATTTGCTTTAGACCACAAGTTGCCCTGGTCCCCTCTAACAAAACTTAAAAGAAAGACTCAAGAGTCTGGCCCCATGGCCTAGTGGTTAAGTTCAGTGTACTCTGCTTCAGCAGCCCAGATTCGTGGGTTCATATCCTGGGAGTGGACCTACACCACTCATTAGCCATGCTGTGGTGGCAACCCACATACATAATAGAGGAAGATTGGCACAGATGTTATCTCAGGGCTAATCTTTCCTAAGCAAATAAAAAAAAAAAGAAAGAAAGACTCAAGAGAAAGACACTGTTTCCAGGTAACTTAACTGTGTCCCAGAACAAGACTCAAGAATATGAATAGGAATAATAATGAATAACGAAGTTTCAAACATTCAAACAAGGTAAAATGTACAATGTCCAGCATCCAATAAAAAATTACCAGTCATGCAAAGAAGCAAGAAAATTTGATTTATAACGAGGATAAGATTTAATCCGTGGAAACAAACTGCAAAATGACACCCCTGATAGAATTAGTAGGCAAGGACATTAAACAGTAGGTATAACTCTACTACTTCTCCATGCATTCCAAAAGTATAGGGAAGATTAAGTATGCTAAATAGAGACACGAAATATTTTAGAAAGACTCAAGTCAAACCTCTAGAGATGAAAAATGCAAGTTTGCATTGAAAATTTAATAGAATATTAGACACTGTAGAAGAAAAGATTAGTGAACATGAAGACTCAGGGAAAGAAACTATCCACAAGGAAACAGAAAAAAAAAAGGAACCTGAAGTAAATGAACGAACCATCAGTGAGCTGTGGGAAAATGTCAAGAAGATTAATATGTGTAATCAGAGTCCCTAAAGGAGAGGTGGGGGTAGGATGAAAGGCAAAGAATATGAAGAAGTAATAATTGAAATTTTTCTAAATTTGACAATAATTGTTAACTGACAAACCCTAGCAACTCAACAAACCCTAATACAATAAATACAAAGTATACCAAGTTACTTCATAATCAAATTGCTAAAATGAATGACTAAAGAGAAAAATCTTAAAAACAGCCGGGAAACCAAAAGACACCTTACATACCAGGAAAAAATTAACGGTAACAGGAGACTTCAAAGACAGTGCAAGGACTGACAAGAGAAACCTTGCCAACTAGAATATTATAACCATTTAAAATATCTTTCAAACTCAAAATAAAGACTTTTTCACACATACAAAAACAAAAACAAAAAATCAGCAGTGAAAACTGCACTTAGAAGTAATGTTAGAGGAAGTCCTTTGGGCAGAAGGAAAATAACACTTGATGAAAATCTGGATTGCACAAAGAAATGAAAAGCAGAGGAAATGGTAACCATATGGGTAACCATAAAAGACTTCTTTTTCTTTAAATGTCTTTACAGTGTAATTGACCATTTAAAGAAGAAAAAAATATGTTCTGATTTCGATAACACATCTAGAAGTAAAATGTATGATAACAATAGGACAAAAGTAAGAAGGGAAAAATGGAAGTATTCTCTATGGTTCTTGTACAATATGTGAAGTGGTATATTCTCCAGTGAAAATAAACTATGGTAAATTACATGATTATACTACAAACTGTATAGCAATCACAAAAAATTATTGTAGGTAAAAACTAACATAGAAGATAAGATTTGAATTTCAAAAGAATGAGAAATAGAGTATCAAAGATTCAAAAGAAAAAACCAAGAATTTGTTAGGTTTAAACCCAACAATGTCAATGATTATGTTAATGTAAAAGGCCAAAATACTCCATATAAATGGCAGAAATTGTGAGGTTGTAAAAAAATAGATTAAAAGTAACGAATGTAAAAAGATATACCATGTTAATGCTAGTTAAAATAAGGATGGAGTGGCTATATTAATATCAGATGAAGTAGATTTCAGAGCAAAGTACATTACCAGGGATAAAGAGGGTCATTTAATAATCATAAAGTGGACATAAAAATCGTAAACATTTATACACTTATTAAATAAATTTATTGAATACATGAAGCAAAATTTGCTTGAACATACTTAACGGTGAAAGACTGAATGCACTTTTCCTAACGTCGTGTGTAAGGTAAGGTTGTCTGCTCTCATCACTTCTATTGCACATTTTTCTAGAGGTTATAGTGAGTGGTATAAGGCAAGAAAAAGAAATAAATATTATTCACATAAGAAAGGAAGAAGTGAAACTCCCCATGTTCACAGACCAGTCTATATAGAAAAGTCTATAGAATCTAGAGAAATGCTACTAAAGGCAATAAGCAAATTTGAATCAATATAAAAATCACTTGCATTTCTATATACAAAAAAAAATTTAAACATAGAAAAAGCATAGTTCATAAGAGAAGAAAATATATAATCTGGGTTTCATCTAAATTAAAAACTTCTGCTCTTTGAAAGTCACTGTAAAACAATGAAAATACAAGCCACAGACTGGAAGAAAATATTTACAAACCGTATATCTGACAGCAAACTTGTATCCAGAATATATTAACAACTCTGAAGACTCAATAGTGAGAAAACAAACAATTCAATTTTTTTTTTTTTTTAACAAGGTAGTGTTATTTTGTGGGTAGAGGGACTAGGATTCAAGCACTTGGAGGCCTCGGGAGCTCTGCCAGGCAGCTTGAAGGAGCTTCTGCTCCTGCTGCTTCCATATCCTCTCTTTGAAGTCTTCCAGCTCTTGGGACTAGCCCTCCTTCTCAGGTGGTCACAGCTCCCTCTTGCGCTGTATAACATGGTCCTCAAACCATTCAACCTGATTAGCAATCCAGAACACAGCCAAAAGGAAGATGAGGTAGAAAGTTACCCGAAACATCTCCAGCTTCAGGCCCTCAACTCAGGAACCACCAGATGCTTTACATCTCAAAAGTATCTCAAGGCAGCTTTACCTTTGGATCCTGTAGAGTTAGAGTAACTTTTTTTTTGCAGTAAGGAAAAAAAATTTTGATGAAAGATGAATTTGGATATTTATGTCCTGTTCTTTTTGGAAAATTAGAGGTTACAACCAAGACAGCTGAAGGAAAAGCAAATGCACACATCATTGAAACAAAGTCAGCCAGGGTCCTCTGAACCTCTGCTGTTTGCAGTGACTTCTGTGGACAGGCAACGGGATTTGATAGGTTGAGGAGGAAGACGACATCCACAATACCAAGGCTGTCATTAGTTTTTCTCTGAAGTGACTGAAGGTAGAAATGGGCCAGTGGTCAGGACCAACTGGGCCCTTCCCTGGCCACTCTCATACTGCTGCTGGGGCTTCCTCCTTTCTTAGTGGTTGTAAATACCTCATCATTTCTCCTTACTTTTTCTCAACCATCAGCTGCTATCACACAGGTACTGTAGCTGCCAGTGTTTTGTACCCTCTATCTCAGACGTTGTTCTTCATTGAATACCTTTTCATTTAATTTTGCTTTAGAACTTGTCCATGTTTTCTTCTGGGGGGTGATGAGGCAGTACATTTTGCCACGTCATAAGCTAACAGTCAGCAAGTAAGTCTTGGTCACTCAGATGTCACATCTGTGAAATGGAAGCATAATATATGACCAGGTGTTGTGCAGATTAAATGAAAATAGTGTATATAATACAGTTCTTATTATGGATGTATATAGAAGATCTCTGCTTGTTCCAAATTCTTATCTAAAAGGAAAGTTGACTTGGTCCTATAGGTTAAGATCAGTAGACCCATTCAGAAAATACTTCACAAAGTTTGTTGCCTGAAACAATAGTTTAAAAGACCAACCACTACAAGAGGAATGATTTATCAAATAAGGCTGGGGACGCTCCTTTTGGTATATGGTTCAGGGAATCACAGTGCGTGTGGGCATTTTAAAAGACCTCTGCTCTTCTCTATATAAATTCATTTGATTTTGTTAGAGCCAGTGTTTGCCAAATTTATGTGACCTTTGGATGTATTTTTCACATAACATCTTTTAACGTCACTACAAATTGGGAACATTTATTAAGAAAGGCACCATTGGAAATTCCTTTTGATTTATGAGATATTATAGGGAAAAAAGAAGGAAAAGAGAGAAATACGTCAGAAAGTTTTCTGAATGGTTTTTCATATTTCTAACCTAAAATATTCTTTGTGCCTTTGGAAAAATAACCTTACATTTCTGGTCCTGAGTGTCAGTTCTAAATTAACACCAACTTGATCACCTTGAGGTAAATCTAAGTTTTCAACTACCTAGTGTTATATGGTTCTGTGCCCTGTATAACGTTGAGCTTAGAGATTTTAAAAGCCATCATGGAGAAGATGAATACCAAAAAAATGCAAACTATAAAATATTTATATTTATCTAAAAACTAGTTTGAGGAAAAAAAGATAAAGTCACACTAATCTCCCAGGTAAAGGTGTAGATAAGAAGAACCAAATAAAAGGGTTTTATTGAAGGTGACAAAAATAGCATGATTTAGTAACTGAATCATAAAACCTTGAGACAAAGTCACTATGGCTTTCCACTTCCCCACTGAAAAAGTATCCTAGAGGTAAAAGTGTGATCCTTGGAGTTTATATTCTGATTTTGTCACTTATTGGCTGCTTGACTCTGTTTAATGATTGTAGTCTGAAATGTCTCTTGCACAAGATGGTAATAATAACACCACACTTTGGGGGCAGGTCAAGACTCAAGTACAGTGTCTGACCCAGGGTAGGACTTGATAAATGCCAGTTGGTTTCCCTTCCTAATGATGTTCAAAATTGCAGCATTATACTAATTGCAAATTTTCAATCTAGTCATAAAATATCAAACCATGACAATATATTTTGAAAGACTATACATAAAACATAACATTTCTCTGATGGGCTTTAGCTAAGCAAAACAAATGTGAAAGGAAAAAATGTTTTTAAAGCTCATGGAATTTAAAACAGCGTTTAGACAACTGACAAAAATGATAGATATTTCAAAACACAAATTTTCTTTAAAAATGTAGGAAAATAGAGATGACTCAGATGCAATGGGATCACTAGAGTTATCTGTGTATTTGGTGAGGTTTAAAAAGGCAACAGTAAATATCTAAATCTGGTTACTTTTGATTTTTGTAAATAAAAGACATATATCTAGTAGACTATACTTATATGTAAAGACAGAATCATCTTCTGTTCTAGAACAAAATAAAGGATTTTATAGATTTAGATACACAAAAGATAAATTTTTATGAAATGACGTATTCCAAGTTTGAAAACCTAGCATTGTGCAATTCATCTTCCTAAATAACTATTGGCTAAATAAATAACAGCTGCAGTGAATTCTTCTTCCTATCATCTCCAAACCAGACAAAACTCTTTAAACCACTTTTTAAATTGCATGAAACATAGGCAAATTTTGTGTTAGATTTTCATATTTAGAACTGGACATCCTGTAGCAACCTACAGATGGCAGGTTATTTAAGCATATTACTACCATTAAGCTAACATGGACATAGCAGTTCAGAGATGAGCTCTTAAGTCAGACCTCCAAATATCATCCTACAGGTCACTAAATCACTCTTCATTATCTTCAGTTTTTCATATACTTTCTTTTCTTCAGTTTGGAGTACTTTTATTGACTTTTTTCAAATTCTTATATCCCTTCTTCTGGAGTGTTTAAATTACTGTTGAATTACTATTAACCCCATCCCTTCATTTATCATTTCAGATTTTGTGTTTTCCAGATCTTGAATTTCTGTTTGGTTTTTTCTCTTACTTTCCATTTGTATACCCAATTTATATTTGATTTTTATTTGCATTTCCTGATTGTTCACCCATTATGTTTTTTTTCTAATTTTCTTTTAGATGATTGAATGTATTTTTTAATGTTTTCATTGCTACTTTGAATTCCTTATCCTCTAATTCCAATGTCTCTGTCATCACTGCCTCTGTTTCTGTTAATTGCTTATTATCTTGGTTATCAGTCACCTTTCCTGCTTAGCCTCATGTTTGGTAACTTTTTATTGTATACTGGACCCTACGCCTGCTATTTTATTGTGTCTGGATTTTGTTTTCTTCCATATAAGAGTGTTAATTTATCTTTTCTTTCTGGCATTTAATTTTCTGAAGGATCAGCTTTATTCTGTCAAGGCTTGTTTTTAGGTTTGGTTATGGTAGCTCTGGAGTAGTTCCACTCCTAAGTATAGTTGTTTTTGAGGGAGAGGGAGGTCTTGACTATGTGCTTCATATATTTACCAGGGTCTGTTGACCTTGGCTACTCTGACTGTTTAGAACTTCCGTTTCTCCCCGTGCTGTATGACCTCTGAATCTCTTGTCAGCTCCCAGTCCTCTCTCCTTCCAGGAGCTGATTTCGTCCAGGTCTCATGGCATCTTGTTCTAAGCATCATACGTATATGGTAAAAGACTCAAAGGGATCCTTATGCAGAGTTCTAGAGTGGCTTGCTTAGTCACTTCTTTCCTTTTTGTTATCACTATACCTCAAATTGTCAGCAGCCCCAAACTGTCAGTTTAGTCTACTCTGCCTAGTGGGATCACCTCTGTCTGTAAAGTGCTCCAAGGTCAAAACAAAAAAAAAAAAAACAGGGTGAATATGGACCTCTTCTCATATGTTTGCCGTCTCTCCAGGATCACAGCCTTGGGCTAGCTATTGTCTAATGCCTGAAAATAGGTGCTTCATCTATTTTATAATAATTATTTATGTTGGGTAGATATCAGAAGTCCCTCAAAATTCTTGCAAGATTGCTAATTTGATATTTTTGTAGAAGAGAAAAGCGGGAAACGAAAAACAATATGAAGTTTCCAATGCCAAAGTGAAACCAGGTGTCCTAACAGGATTTAGAATGAGGTTCCATCATTAAATAGCTCAAGAAGAAAGCACAGTGCCCTAGACTGAACCTTGTCCTCTCAGCAAAGTTAAAGAATGGTTCCTCCAAGTGTTTCCTTTTATTAGAGTAACTGGCGCAAATGTACCACTGACCTAGGCAATAGGATTAACAAAAAGAGATAAATTATGGAAACTTGTATTTTTATCTAAAATTTTTGAAGAGAGTGTGTGTCTTAAAGGAGTAAACAATACAATTATGATATTTCCACCCTACAACATTAGCACCTATTAATATTTTTATGATTGACCTACTGCTTTGCATGTATACGCCTATCCCCCTAGCTGTCCGTAAATTCTTGGAGGGCATTTGCATTTTTTAATTCATCTAAATATTCCTAATACCTAGTCTATAGCCTGGTATACCAAATGCTTTTTAAATGAAAGAATGATTGCATTTAGATTTACTTTGTTTCAAGAGAGATGTTAACTTTGTATTTGATGTGAATAACTAATAATGGCTAACACACAGTGAATGCTAATAATGTGCTTGTCACTTTTCTAAGTATTTGTATTTAATTTACATTTAAACCTTATAATAATCTTATTAGAAGGGCACACAAGCATAGAACAGTTAAGTGACTTGCCCAATGTCATGCAACTAGTGAATAATGGAGATGAGATGCAAACTCGAATAGTCTGACACAAAGCTCTTTACCAGTGTGGTATGCTGTGTCTCAAGCAAGAGAACAGGATATAGTCATTAAAGAATTCCCATGATAAAAGTGCACTAAAATACTGCTCCTTCTGTGTTGAATACTAAAAGTTCCTAAAGGAGATTTTAATGGGGGTAAATAAGGAACATTAAAATCCGTTTTTCAGTAACTTGGCAATAAACCTATCAAAAAGCAGAGGCTGGTGTGTGTTCAGAGAACTTTGCATTATGACTGAAATCTGCGGACTAAAGTGGAAAATGTTTTTGTAGGCAAGAGAGAGGTTTTGTAAAACCTAACAATTTGACATGAGTTGGGAGAGGTGGGCAGTAAGGGGCAGAGGGAAACTTCAGAGTTTATGCCACCTACGCATCTATTAAGAAAGCAGGCGTCTTTGGTGTTGGGAAGTTATCAGTACGTATTTGAAAAATGAATGGGTGTTGTTTCTTCACAGTTATTTTATTTTTACTCTAAAAGTTTGAGTCCTTCCGTATTTCTGTTACAATAATATCTACTTAGAATGGTTTTCTAATGACATCAATAAGTAAGTGCCCTTCCTGACTTTGGACCCGGTGTGTGGAAATACAGAAGCTTGCGTAGCTTCAAAAATTAAAGTGAAGAATTTTACAAATAAACTTTCATCATTCCTGTCATTTTTATGGAACCTAATCTGGTAAAGGAGGATATTGCAGCTAAATGACTGACAGGGATAGTGTCTTTTTTAATTGGCACTGGGCAGTTTATCAGACTCTGATGTCAGGGACGCTCCATTAGGCTGTGAGAAAGTGATTGGTGGGATAACATTCAACTGAAAATCTCTGTGGATGGTAGTTCATGCCACCATTACATCAACTTAATGAATGAGGCCAGTAGCGTCCTCCTCTTCCTTGAAGGAACACATCCATCATGGAACAAAAGATTCCCCAGTGCCAATACGATGTCATGTTTTTTCTTCTTAGTCTGTGTGAGGAGAAAAAGATTTCAGAGCCCAAACTGAGAAAAGTACAGACATCCTCATCCCATGGAAAATAATTGCCTGGACCATATCAGCTCATTACTTTTATTATATCTAGAAGATTATTTACATGGAAATAACCATACCTTAGCCAAATGCTAGACTGTTTCATGTCTTGTTCTTGGAATAGATGAACAATAGTGAGGTTTGAAAAACTGTATAAACTTAATTGGTGTCATTGCTATGCCTCTTAGTATAGTATCTGAATGTAGCCAGTAAAATCTTGAAAATGTAATAACCAACCAAAATCAGCAAAGATATTTCCTACTATTTTCACAAACTTCTGTGTCTAGTTCTACATTTCTAAGAAAAACAAAAGAAAGGATGGGCTGGAGTTTCCTTTCCATCTGTATTTTTTATTCTATTTTTTCTTTCTTTTACTTTCTTATTCCTCCTTTCGCTCTTTGATTTTTTTTTTTTTCATCTCCTTCACAGCGCTTAAGAAAACCTCCCAGAGATTACAGGCTTTGAGCACAATGTGAATGAAAGGCCTGACTTGAAACTGACATGGCAAATCTTTATTGAGGGAAACTGCTCACCACAAAAAGGGGATGTGTAAGTATGCTTTATTTTGGAAAAGAAAAAAAGTGCCACTTATTCCTGACGAAGTGTGATCCATACATTATTACCTTGGCATCTTGATCTGGCCCAGATGAATTCTTTCAACTCTTGCACTCCAGATCACATATTTTACATTAGCAGTTTTAACTCACCACACCATCTGTTTTTATCGACATCTAACTACACAGATGTACAGTTGATGCGAAAATGTTCAAAATCAGCTTATTCTGTATCATATTCACCTATTAATACCAATGAATATTATATTAATGTTTACTTTTCCTTTGGTTTTAATCTTTAAATATTTTATTGTTATTACTATCATCTTGGTTTAAATGTTACTAGATTCAAATTATCCTGGCAGTTATCTCAGTATTAAAAAGATTCACTCCAAATCCAAAATTCATGCATTCTATATGGTATTCAAAATTATTTTTGGATAGCAACTATTCAGTAATAGAAAAAAAAGATTTGAAAGTATGTTTTTAATCTTCTGTCAGAAATGGTTCTACCTTGGATAGCTCAAGGTTATTTTTTCCGTATTTCATTTTATTTATTTTTTTTTAATTTTTACTGCTGGTAAGCTCTTCTATCAAGAATCAGTGGTTAATGAAAAATAAACCACCAATGGAGTCTTGCCAGAAAAGTTGATGTTAGTTTCTTAGAATGGATGTGAGCTACTGTTGTTCAAGCCAAGGTGATTTCTTTTTCTTTTTATCCTTTTTTCCTTTCACTATCCACACAGCACATACTAGTCACATAGTCAAAGTAGAAATTTCATGTTCAGATAAAATAAGTTAAAAGAGAAAGTTATGAGTTTTTGGTGGACTTATTTAATTATGATAAACAACACTCATTTTCTATGAATTTTGCTTCCAAATTTTGTATTCTCTCAATGACATCATGTAAAACCTTTATTTAGAATTTACTGTATTAATATGTAATGACTTCAGGCACTTAGAATTACAAAAGATACAATTCCAGCCGTTTGCAGTTCATAGAGTCTAAAATACATCATACTGAGTGCAGATTTCAAGCTTATCGTGATCTTTCTCAATAATTTCGACCGTTTTTGTAATAATTTTCCTTGCCTGAAGGACTGGCTGGGCCTGATATTTTTTCTATGCTGGCCATTACCATTTGTCACATTAGGGAGAAAAAATTAAATAGACTAAAGCAAGGGTTGGTAAACTACAGCCCAGAGGTGAAATCCTGGCAGCCACCTGTTTTATTTTTCCAGTTTTATTGAAATATAATTGACCTGAAACATTGTGTAAGTTTAAGGTGCACAGTATGATGATTTGATATGCGTATACATTGCAATGTGATTACTGCAGCAAGGTTAGTTAACATCTCCATCACCTCATCTAATTTTTTTGTTTTTAAATTTGTAGTGAGAACATTTGACATCCATACTCTTAGCAACTTTCAACTATGTAATAGAGGATTATTAAATATAGTTTCCATGCTGTATATTAGATCCCCGGATCTTAGTCATTTTATAACTGAAAGTTTGTACCCTTTGACCTACATGTCTCCATTTCTCCCACCCCCTAGCCCCTGGGAACCACCATTCTACTCCCTGTTTCTATGAGTTTGACTTTTTTAGATTCCACGTGTAATGGAGATCATGCAGTATTTGTCTTTGTCTGATTTATTCCACTTAGCATAATGCCATCATGGTCCCTCCATGTTGCCACATGTCACAAGATTTCCATTGTTTTTACGGCTGAATAATAATCCATTGTATGTGTGTGTGCATGTGTGTGTATCACATTTTCTTTCTCCTTTCATCCACCAACGGACACTTAGGTTTTTTTTGTGGCTTGGCTATTGTGACTAAAGCTTCAATGAATGTGAGAGTGCAGACATCTCATTGAGATAATGATCTTGTTACTGACCTTAGAGGAAAGATTTAAAGCTTTCACCATCGCGTATGTGAAGTGACATATATGGCTTTTATTATATTGAGCTATGCTCCTTCTATACGCAATTTGTTGAGAGTTTTTATCATGAAAGGCTGCTGAATATTGTCAAATGTTTTTTCTGCTTCTATTGAGATGATTGCATGATTTTTATCTTTTATTCTGTTAATGTGGTGTATCATAGTTATTGATATGCATATTTTGAGAGATCCTTGCATCTCAAGAATAAATCCCACTTGATCATGGTGTATAATCCTTTTCATGTGCTATTGAATTTGGTTTGCTAGTATTTTGTTAAGGATATTTGTATCTATATTTATCAGGGATATTGGCCCATAATTTTCTTTTTTTTTTTAGTATGCTTGTAGCTTTGCTATCAGAGTATGCTGGCCTTGTGAAATGAGTTTGGGAATGTTGCCTCCTCTTCAGTTTTTGGAAGAGTTTGAGAAGGATTGGTGTTACTTCTTTCAATGTTGGTAGAATTCACCAGTGAAACCATCCGGTCCTGGGGTTTTCTTTGTTGGGAATTTTTTGATTAATGATTCAATGTCCTTTCTTGTTATTGCTTTGTTCAGAGTTTCTATTTCTTCATGAGTCTGTCTTGGTAGGTTGTATGTTTCTAGGAATTTATTTATTTCTTCAAGGTTATCCAGTTTGTTGGCATGTAATTATTTATAACAGTCTTTTATGATCCTTTATATTTTTATTGTATCAGATGTAAAGTCTAGTCTTTCATTTCTGATTTTACTTTTTGAGTCATTTCTCCTTTTTCTTAGTCTAGCTAAAGGCTTGCGAATATTTTTTATCTTTCCAAAAAAAGCCAACTCTTAGTTTCATCCATATTTTCTATTGGTTTTCTGGTCTCTATTTTATTTATTTCTGCTCTGGTCTTTGTGACTTCCTTTCTTCTTTTGTTACTTCCTGCTAACTTCTGGCTTAGTTGGACTTCTTTTTTTAGTTGTAAATTTAGGTTGTTTATTTGAGATCTTTCTTTTCTTGTGTACGCATTTAGAACTAGAAGATTTTTCTTAGAACTGTGTTTGTTGCATCTCATATGTTTGATGTGTTTGTTTCCATTTGAATTTCTTTCAAGATATTTTTTGAATATTATTTTGTTTTCTTCTTTGACTCATTGGTTGTTCAAGAGTATATTGTTTATATAATGGAGAAAGAAAAGTCTCTTCAACAAATGGTGTTGGGAAACTGGACAGCCACATGCAAATAAATGAAAGTAGACCATTACCTTACACCATACACAAAAATTAACTCCAAATGGATTAAAGACTTGAATGTAAGACCTGAAACTGTGAAACTTCTAGAAGAAAACATAGGCAGTATGCAACATCTGTTTTAACAACATATTTTCAAGCACCATGTCTGACCAGGCAAGAGAAACAATAGAAAAAATAAACAAATGGGACTACATCAAACTAAAAAGCTTCTGCACAGCAAAGAAAACCATCAACAAAACGAAAAGACAACCTAACAATTGGGAGAAGATATTTGCAAACCATACATCTGATAAGGGCTTAATCTCCAAAATATATAAAGAACTCATGCATCTCAACAACAAAGAAACTACCAACCCAATTAAAAATGGGCAAAAGACCTGAACAGACATTTCTCCAAAGAAGATATACAGATGGCCAACAGGCACATGAAAAGATGTTCAACATCATTAACTCTCAGGGAAGTGCAAATCAAAACTACAATGAGGTATCACCTCACACCTGTCAGAATGGCTATAATTAGCAAGACAGGAAACAGCAAGTGTTGGAGAGGATGTGGAGAGAAGGGAACTCTCATACACTGCTGGTGGGAGTGCAACCTGGTACAGCCACTATGGAAAACAGTATGGAGATTCCTCAAAAAATTAAGGACAGAACTACCATACGATCCAGCTATTCCACCGCTGGGTATCTATCCAAAGAACGTGAAAACACCAATGAGTAAGATACACGCACCCCTGTGTTCATTGCAGCATTATTCACATTAACCAAGACGTGGAAGCAGAGGTGGTATATATACACAATGGAATACTACTCAGCTATAAGAAATGATGAAATCCAGCCATTTGTGACAACATGGATGGACATGGAAGGTATTAGGCAAAGTGAAATAAGTCAGAGAGAGAAGATCAAATACCGTATGATCTCACTCATTAAGTAGTAGATAATAACAACAGCAGACAAACACATAGAGACAGAGATCAGATTGGTGGTTACCAGAGGGGAAGGGGAGAGGGAGGAAGGTGAACGTGATAATTAGGCACGTGTGTGGTGATGGATTGTAATTAGTATTTGGGTGGTGAACATGAGAACATGATGTAATCCATGCAGAAATAGAAGTATAATGATGTACACCCGAAATTTATACAATGTTGTAAACCAATGTTACCACAATAAAAACAACAAAAAAGAGTATATTTTTTAATTTCCATATATCTGTGAATTTTCTAGTTTTCCTCCTGTTATTGATCTCTAATTTCATACTTTTGTAGTGGAAAAGATAAGTGGTATGATTTTAGTCTTCTCACATACGCTAAGACTTGTTTTGTAATATAACATATGAACTATCCTGGAGAATGTTCCATGCATGCTTGAGAGAATGTGTGTTTTGCTGTTATCGGATAGAATGTTCGGTATATGTCTGTTAGCTCTATTTGGTCTAAAGTATAGTTCAAGTCCAGTGTTTCCTTGTTGATTTTCTTTCTGGAAGATTTATCCATTGCTGAAAGTGGAGTATTGAAGTCCCCTACTATTACTGTATTGTTGTCTAACACTCCCTTCAGATCTGTTAGTATTTGCTTAATACATTTCAGTACTCTAATGTTAGTTGCATATATATTTACAATTGTTATATCCTCTTGATGAATTGACCACTTTATCATTATATAATGACCTTCTTTGTCTCTTTTTACAGTGTTTGATGTAAAGTCTATTTGGCTGATGTAAGTAAACCTACTCCTACTCTCTTTTGGTTTCCATTTTCATGCTATATCTTTTTCTATACATTCACTGCGTCCTATGTGTGTCCTTAAAGCTGAAGTGAGTCTTGTAGGCAGCATATAGTTGAGACTGCTGTTGAGTCTGTTGCTCTATGCCTTTTGATTAGAGAATTTGATCTATTTCTATTTGGAGTAATTATTGCTTGGATAAGGGCTTACTAATGCCATCTTACTAATTGTTTTCTGGCTATTTTGTAGTTCCCTGTCCCTTTGTTCCTCTCATGCTGCCTTCCTTTGTGAATTGATGATTTTCTACAGCGGCGTGCTTTGATTCCCTTCTTTATATCTTTTGTGTATGTACTGTAGGTTTTTGCTTTGTGGTTACCATGAGGCTTGTATATAACATCTTACAGATATAACAGTCTATTTTAAGCTGATAACAATTTAACTTCAATTGCACACCAACATTACACTTTACTCCTTTCCATTGTATATTTTGATGTACAATTTACATCTTTTTATATTGTATGTCCATACACAAATTATTGTACATATACTTATTTTTTTTCACTTTTGTTCTTTAACCTTATACTAGAGTTAAGTGGTTAATACACTGCCATATTCCAGTATTAGAATATTTTTTATTTTACTATTTACTTTCATATGTTTTTATGTTTTTGTATTCCTAGTTAGCCTCCTTTTATTTCAGCTTGAAGAACTCCTTTCAGCATTTCTTGTAAGGCAAGTCTTGTGATGATGAACTCCCTCCTCTTTTGTTTGTTTTGGAAAGTCTTTGTCTTTATCTCGCTTTCATTTCTATTGGACAACTTTGCTGGGTGAAGTATATTCATTGGCAGTTTTTTTTTATTTCAGCACTTTGAATATATCATTCCACTTTCTCCTGGCCCACAAGGTTTCTTCTGGGAAATCCACTGATAGCCTTACGAGGATTCCCTTATGTGGGTGGAATTTTTTTTTTCTCTTGTTGCCTTTAAAATTCTTTTTGGCTTTATAACAGTTTTATTATGTGTCTTGGAGAAGATCATTTTGGGTTGAAATTTGGTGGGGGACTTATGAGCTTCATGGACTTGAATATTCAAATCTCCCTCCAAATTTGAGAAATTTTCAGCCATTATTTCTTTAAATAAACTTTCTGCCCCTTTCTCCCTCTCTTCTCCTTCTGGGACTCCAGTAATGCATATATTGTTTTTATTAATGATATCTCATAATTCATGGAAGCTTTCTTTGCTCCTTTTCATTTTGACCCTGACTGGATAATTTTATTCTCCTCTGACTGGGTAATTTCAGAGGATCCATCTTCTACTTTATAGATTCGTTCTTCTACTTGATCCAGGCTGATGTTAATGCTCTCTCATGCATTTTTCATTTCATTCATTATATTTTTCAGCTCAATTTTTTCTGTTGCTTCTTTTCCATGATTTCTATCTCTGTTAAACTTCTCATTTTTTTGTGTATTGTTTTTGTGATTTCATTGCATTGTCTTTTTATGTTTTCTTGTAGTTCACTGAGCTTCCTTAAAACTGCTATTTTAAATTCTTTATTGGTGAAATTGTTGATCTCTATTTCCTTGGGGTCGGTTACTGGAAAATTATTGTGTTCCTTTGGTGGTGTCAAGTTTTCCTGATTTTTTTATGTCCTTTGAAATTTTGTGTTGCTGTCTTTGCATCTTAAGAAGGATTCACCTCCTCCAGTCTCTATTGACTGGCTTTGGGAGGGAAATATCTTCTTTCAGCCCTTTCAGAGATTCTGCAGCTTTCTCAAAACTTTTTTATGGATACACCTGCTGCATACTCTTCTTCCTTCTTGTATGGGAATTTTTAAGATTGTATGCTTTCTTTCAATCCTACAAAATGAGATCAAATGCTGACAGCCTCCCTTTTGCTTTCCCTAGGTTGGTGCTGAATGCTTAAGTTTGAGTGGTTTCTCCCAGTCCCACAGCGTTAGGCTGGCTTTCTGTTTACGCTCACTAGCCAATCTGCAAAAGCTCATTCTTACTGCCTTCAGGATTCTGCAGAGGGCGTCAGCCATGGGGTGAGTA